AAGGCGCCTGGAGGGGTAGGCGACGACCGGCACGCCGGTGTCGGCGGGTTGCCTACCCACCCGACCACAGGCGCTCCCCGCAGCACTCACCGCTCACAGTCGAGGCGGGCGGCCTCTAGTAGGGTCTCGACGTCCTTAAGCTGCCTCGCCCCCTCTTCCACCTGGAGAAAACCCATGGCAGATCACTCAACTACACACTCCAGTCTACAATATTGCACGCAACTCTGGAATGTGCTTTGACCCAACAGTAAGTCCTTGTTACTGGTCACAGGACGCTTAGCCGGAGCGATCGACGTAAACACGATTGCTAAAGAGACGTTTTTCTTTCATTTCCGATTAGACCCATTCCGTGCCCGGACCGACCATTTGCATTTTGCTTGACGTCAGCCCGCCCCGCCTCGCCTCGCCGCACCCCACCGTACCCTGCCGCACCCCGCCGCACGCACGCAGACACGGTTCGCAAAGTCGTCTAACTAAAGCTCGGCACCCACCACGCCCAGCACTGCTATATTTATACCCGTCCGGTAATATTCCCTATTATTTGTCGAGGGGGGGGGGGTGCAGCCGGAGCCGGGCCACCGACATGCTCCCTATTTTTAGCCGCGGGGCCGGGGGCCGTGATGCCGATTCCGCGTCCCGTCATGTTATGTTTGGAAGCCGGAGGCTATTTCTGGAGGACAGTTTGCACTCCTCCGCATCCCCCGCCCCCTCTGTGCGATGCGCGGCTCCTCGATGACAGGGCGGGCGCAGCGGCAGACGCAGGGGCGGCGAGCTTCAGCTGGAACAGGGGAATCCCGGGCCCAGGCCTGCACCCCTCGCACGCGGCGGCTGCCGTTATACCGGGGCAGGTGGCTGCTTGTATTGCGAAACATTCTCCTATCGGCCGGGTATGGGGGCATTTAGAAAGTGCGTCCGTTATTCGCCCTTGGGAACCTGCCCTGCCAAAGTACTCAACCTCCACAAGCAATCAAAGCGCCTGGTGGGTTAGGCACCATCACTGCCTCTAGTGCATCCGTGTACAGCTCGGTGGCCTACGTTAAGTTTCGCAGGCGCGGAGCTCCTGTAGTCGTCAGTTTGTCTATTGAATCTAGAAACGGACGTAACTTTTTATGGACGTTACCCAGCCTCTCCTCTCCCTTGCCGCCGCCGCTCAGGCCGGGCCACCCGATGCCACCCAGCTGCTTGGCGGGTTTGTCGCTACCCGGTGCGTTGCAGGGTCGTTGTCTACTACTGTCATGTTCCGGCATGTCTCACTCAATAGGGGGGATGAAATCAGATCAGAACTCTGGCTCAGCCGAAAGGCGCCCACTGTTCTTTCGGGTCACCTAAGAGAACGACTTTTGAAAGGGAAATTTTTCGAGCTCTTAAAAAGAAGTACTTCGCATGTAAAATCTGCGGAACCTTTCCAGAAATTATACAAATAATTTTCATCAGTTTCGGCATAGTGAATTTAGGATCAGCTTAGGTTTGCAATGGTTTGCACACAGGATTTGCTCCACAATTGCTTAACCCTCTCCGGGACTAGATCTGGTTTATTTGATTGGAGATCTGAGCTCGACTACGGGGAGTCCCCGGCTGCTGGGGCCCCCTGTCTCACGACATGGAGGCTTTCCTCGCCCTCGCTGTCCAAACCGGTCCCCTCCCCTCCGCTCCCCGTGTGGGGGATCCCAGTCGCGTCCCACCGCACCGCACCGCACCTGCTGGCCGCGGAGTTGACAGCGCCACTGCGTGCGCCCGCAGCTGCGCAGCTGTGCCTCCAGCCTCCCGCTACCCCCTCCCCTCGCAGCGCGCGCCGCTTCCAGGAACAGCTGCGGCGCCCGCTCTGCTGTTGCTGGAAGAACGCTAACTTCCAGCCCCCCCTGCGGGGCCCGGGGCGGTCCATGGCGGTCCACGGCTATCCGACTATGGGGCCCTGGTGTGGCTCGCGGCGCGCCAAGCCAAGCCACGCCACACGCCACTCACTCCCGCCGGAGCAAAGCCCCCCCAGCCCCCCTACCACAGCCCCCTCCAAACAGCGCCGGCTTCCTGGAATCGGAGTGCGAAGAGGAGAAAGGGAGGGGGGCGTTCGATGAACAGCAAAGCTATGAAGGGGGCATTGAGGGGGTAGTGAGAGAGGAGGAGAGGGGCGGCGGGAGAGTCCAAAGGAAGGGGGAGGCGGGAGCAATGATTCCTGGAAGCTGGGGCGCAGAATATATATCCCGGAGGAGGAGAGCGGGAGCAGGGAGCAAGGTGGGGGAGGAGGAGTCGGTCCAGGCGGAGAGGGGGCATCGTGTCGTGCGCCCCCCCCTCCCCCCATCCCGCCCCAGCCCGTTCCAGTGTTTCTACTCCAGTTCCATGGAACAGCCAAACGAGGGCCGCATCCCAGAAGAGGCCGGGGCCAGGGCTGCTGGCGCGCGTGCTGTGGTTATTGGTCCAGGGCCTCCTGGCGAGCTCTGCAGCTTTCCAGTCCGGCGGGAGAGTCAAATCGACCTCTGGCACTTTCCAGTAGACTTTTTTGAAAACATAAAAAATAAAAAGCAATTTATTCTATTTCGCGTAAGCCAGCATACACAGCCATTACCACCAGCCGTCCCCACCAGTCTTGCTTTACCAGGAATTGGGATAGAGTCAGAGTTCAAGAACGAGAGAAAAGGAGGAAACGGGAGGATTGTGGTTAGCCTGCTCTTCAGCCACATGCAATTGCAATCGGAGCAAAAAGCCTTCTGGGTCACGGAATCGAACCTTTCGAACGGCGTTATCGAAATCGTGTACAAACCCACCCCCTTGCACATTCACCCCCACCTCTCCACAGGGTACCTTTTTTTCAGAATCGGACCACCCCGGGCCGAACCACATCTTTTTGAATATCAGTACCGCCTACACATCGCTCTCACGACCGAGCGCTTCACTCGGCTTCACCCTACCGCTCTTAGGCTTTGTGGGCTTCGAGATAAGGTTACGACGAGATAGGTGGTACGCTACCCCAGGCGGTAAGGTCGGCCGAAAGGGGTGGTTTTTGAATGTTTTGAAAGTTTTTCTGTTCTGGAAGCGGGGCGTTTGGTATTACCAGCAAGAAACTTCCAGCGGGGGGGGGGGGGGCTACCCCTCCTTTCGTATCCCCTTCTCAGTGATTGTGGGGGCACCCGGGATCTGGGGTGGCCAACACCTCGGATGAGGTTAAAGATGTTGACGCCGTGTTTCTCTGCACGGAGTATAAAAAGAGACGTGACCTTCTATGAAATTGAAGGTCACCTTTCAAAGAGCCTATGTAAATAAAACTGCGGGTATGGAAAAGGCTACTGCTAATTTTAAACCGACACTTTCCGCGAGCATGTTATGGTATTCCGTACCTCCGGTAGAAAGCCTCCCCTTCCTCCCTCCAGAAAACTGTTTTCCACGCAGAGTGCATGGCGCCGTTACTGCAGGGGCCGACGCTCTTTGTGCCAAGTGCACAGGGCGGGCCACCGGCTCTGTGCAACTGCTTGGCGGGTTGGCATATCCAGTGCACTGCAGGCGCTATGATGAGCGTGTCCTCGTTAAACACTCCCCGAGTGTCGAACGAACACACTCTGTAACTCCGTGCTAAAAGTGTCATTAGCATTGAAAATTCAAGGTTCAACAGTATCTGGTTGAACACTTACAAGTGTGCAAACATAGCTGTGCCCGCTGTGCGAGTTTATGCACTGAAAAAGTGTACGAATGTTGCACACCTGCAGGTGTGTGAAAAAAAACATCCCCTGGACACGGCCAATCGCCGAGCAAGTGACTCTCTATAAATGTGTGAATATTTCGTCGCTCACCTACAAGGGTTATTTTTTCACACACCTGCAGGTGTACGACATTCGTACACTTGGATTTCTAGTGTACCGTTTGAATACTTGAAGACTTATGAATCGTCCAGAAAGTAGTCCGTTTTCCGCTTTCCTCCGACTCAGTGGGCAAATCAGGGAAGCCTGGCGCCTGCGAGACTCGGGGTAGGCCGACCCGCAGTGCACGCATGCACTGCAGAACAGATGTTGCCTACCTATCAGGCGCTAGAGGGGTTACAGGGACTGAACTTTGCAGTCTCAGAAACGGAGAATGACGGTCGTATTTTACGGATGATCGCTTATCAGTGCAAAGCTTAGAGCATGGCCTCGTATTACATTTCAGACTTTTAGGTTTTATTAAAATAAAAAGACGCCGCGAGCCGATGTGCTATATATGCGAGACGGTGGGGAGGGGGGGGTCTCTTCACCCTCTGGTAGACACAGTATTGGAGACTGTCTAAAAACAAACATTCTCTGATTTCCGATCCATCAACATACAGCTCTTTTGCCATTTTCAAAAGCTGCGAGAACATCGCTTTCGCGCAGGTAGCAGTGGCGTTAGAGTGTCACTTTCTCGGCGACTGGCCGTGTCCGGGGGATGCGTCGTGCGAGTGCAGCCCACACCCGGCCCCCTCCGCCCCGGCCCGCTGCCACCACCACACACTCCACGCGATCAATCGCTCGCGGCTAGAGCTGGTAGAGCTAGCGGCTGGCTCGGCTAGCAACACGAGCGCGCCG